TGAGTCACCCAGCAGAGGCTGTGGCTGAGCGCCCCCGCCCGTGGGGATCGAGGGCCTGGCAGAGCCCCGAGAGGATACGCCGTTCGCACCAAGGCACAAAACGGCATGACGATCGCCCTGGCAATGCAGATAGGGCCGCCGATGCGGACAGTCTCGCTGGAGGTGTCCTCCCAAACATGAGCCGCACCAGCGGCGCTCCTTGGCGATAGTTCGCCTCGCTGGAACCGGCTTACCTAATAATTTCGGGCACGACGTTACCCGATGATCAGATGCTCGACAATAGGAGCAGGGGGGGGTTGACGACGACTTGCCTGGAGGATTCAGCCTCTCACTGGGCACGGCTCGTAAGTCGTCAACGGTGCCTGCCGCGCTCTCTATCTGCCGGCACTGCTCCTCCAAAAACCGCAGCAGGTCATAGAAGGGCGGAATATAGGAGGCCTCGTCCCCGCCGTACCTCTCCTCAAAATGGATTCGCAGGTCGAGAGGTAGACGGGACAGCACGATGCGGAGCAACAAAAAAGCCCATTCGCCCACTGGTAAACCCAGCCGCCTCAATGTATTACAGGCCACCAAGACTGGATCCAACAGGTCCGGACGCAGTCTGGCCCGGTCACTAAGCAGCGGGAGGCTTAGAAGCTGCTTAACATGCTCGTCTGCAATTCGCCGGACGTTGGCGTATCTTCTGGCTAGGAGGTCCCGAGCAGTCTGGTAGGCGTCGTCCGACAATCTCAAGTGGCCGACGACGCCCAGGGCCTCCCCCTCCAGTGAGGCCAGGAGGTACGCCATCTTTTGGCTCGGGGTCAGGTCACTCCGGGCGTCCACTAGGCTGTCGAAAAGACCAACGAAGGTCAGCCATTCGGAATGGACCCCGGAGAACTTTGGCAGGTCCAGAGTTGGGAGTCGTCCCAACAGCTCCGGCTGAAGCTGCTTCAGAGAGGACTCGGATAGGTTACTCATCCGAGCTTCACGCGCCTCCTCGGCATACCTGCCTTCAGCCTCGATCAACTCGTCCGTGAGCCACAAGAACTGCTCATAGTCCGCAAAGCAAGAGTCCAGGACTCCCTTCTCCACATCCGAATCCTCGAGCTCAGCGTAAGCCTCCTCCACTGCGGCCCTTCGAGCATCCACCTGCTCGAACCGGTTCATCAAGTTATGGACCCTATCCGGTCGACCTATCAAAGCATGGGCGCTTGTGGCCCAGCGCAACTCAGTCCGCAGACAACGGATCAGTAGCTTAGGCGATGTCATCACTATTAAATACAAATTACGACGCGGCTTGAGCACAGATTACAAAGATAACAAACAAAAAATACAACAAAAATTAACAGTTAATAAATGCAGTTCCTATCAAATCGCGTTGAATAGAAATTACACAAATACGAATTACTACGTATCAACCAAATACAAGTTAGCTCAAAAGAAAAGACACAATCAAATTAACAAATAACAAATACTAGTGCGATGAAATCAAGTTAAATTCAAAGTACGCAAATACAATTACTACTCCTTAGTTCAAATACAAATTACAGTACAAACGAAGATACACATCACGGTCGATCAACAAAAATGCCTAGCTCGGAAATCGAACCTTCGATAAGTAATCCACTACAACTATCCGACAACGATAATTAACCGATTACGTAAAAATAACCATCTACCTACATAACGTATATCTCTAGAAAAACTCCCGCTTGCACAACCTAGGGCGCGGCTTTTCAAATTACCCTCTAAACAAAAAAAAAGGCAAGCAACAAAGCAACAAAGGTAAAGAATTCTATTATTACGCACAAAAAAATATTTTTACGTATTACGGACGGGCGTGATTGTAGATGCAAATTAAACCAATCACACCAACGCTCCCTGCCACCAAAATTGTTTAATGTTTATCAAACACTATAGTCGGGATCGACCGGGAATCGAACCCGGAATCGCGCTCTGCTACCAGTTTGTTACGGCCTACGGCTGCTCCCTTAAAGGATCAGATCCCCAGGGGCCCATGAGCTGAAGTCCTCCCGAGCAGACGTAGGTCGGGCTCAATGTGGCCACGTGGAATCTCTCTAATTACTCTAAAATATATGGGGGAGAGTTATACTACGGACAGTCGACCGGAAGGAATTTGGCGGAGTTCACTTACCTCTATCCAAGGTGACTGGTCCCTCCGGAGTCGGTCAGGTCGCATGTGGTTGTGTAGTGCAAGGGAAAGAATGGTGATGTGGTGTGTATCTGGGTGTGACTGATGGTGATTGAACCTAGACCTTAGCCGTCGGCAGCAGCCCGAGCGTCGACACCGCTCCAACTTGAGGGGGCCTTTCGAGGTTATCCACAGTCACTTTCTTGGTTCACCACGATGACAGTCACTTAAATCTATCGTACTATTAACTAGCTTACCGAGGCCACTAACTATCGCGGGGTATAAGGTTACCGCACAAAACACGCCCGGAGTTTCTGGGTCAAAGGTCACTCCCGGTTCGCGTGGCAACAGATAGTTCTAAATACGGAGGCCGCACTAGCTTATATTGTCGAATGCACTTATACAGATTCTGAGTCGGAGCCAATAAGTCCCGGGAAAGGCTATCCAAACAGGGAATGCGCGTTATAATTCCTAGACAAGATATTTACTAGACGCCCTAACTATTCCGCGGTTCCCGCACAAAATTAACAGCGTGCAAACATTAGCACATCTGGCCGACGACTGACTCGCTTGCGACCCGCGCGCCACTGCCACGCTCGGAAGAACTTCAGACCAGAATCGCGCCGAGCCGAGTGACATCTGGTGTCGATTCCGACAACAGAGTTTTGCGCGAACAAGTACCCTTATCGAGAGAATCGTGAGACCTAGTCTGTTGCGTAAGTTTTTCATTGCATTAAATTCATCTTTGGGAAGATTTAATTTCGCCGCTGAGCTTCGACGTAACATAGACGAAAAGTCATGACGTATGGCCTCTCAATATCCCTCTAGAAGATGCAGGAGTGTACAAAAGCCTGATTGTGAATGTGGTCTCTTATATAGGAGAAACAAAACGATCTATCAAATTTCTTTTCAAGATTTTTTAATATTTTTTGAATACCACTCTCCTATAAAGCTGATTTAATAATTGTCAATTTAATTACGATCTTCCTATTTGGGCCCATTTTTGGTCGTTATAGCGGTCAAACCGCGAACTCACTTAATATGCTCATTATGAAGGAACCTAACGTATTATGATGGGCAACTACGGATCCTACCTCTACATTGTGCGTGGCCGGACACGCACTTGGTCAGTTTTTTCATTTCCAATGTAACAATACGAGGGTGAAACTGAAAGTTCTTAGAAAATCAAAAACTGAACAAACTAGCAACTTATTAGTTTTATTATATATTTATAGGGCGGGTGTTCATTTACACCTCTAACGTCGCCAAATAGTCGATTGTTTGCTTGGCGTTGTTGTCGTGGTGAAGGAGGATTCTACTGCGAGGTCGTTTCTCCCGAAGTTTTTTCAAGACAAGTGGCAAAAAATTGTTAGTGTACCACTCTGCAGTAACAGTTTTTCGATCCTCTAAGACAATTGTTGCGTAATGACCTGTCCTTCCGAAGTATGAGGCACCATCTCTATTCCCATGCTTCGACCTCTTTTCATTTAAGTTGGCAACTCCTCCGAAGTAAACACTCAGACAGCGGACTGTCTCTTAGTTTGAGGATCATAACAATAAATCCAGATTTCGTCACCCGTAAGTATGTCGAAAACAGCGTTTGAGTTATCTCCGTTAAATCTTTGAACCACTTCACGACACGACGTGACGAAGATGACGGAGTTTTTGGGCCTCTGTCAAATTATGAGGTATCCACCGGGCACAAAGCTTCCTGACCACTAAATGTTCATGGAGGATTTCGTGCACTTGACTTATACCGATGCCTAAGCTTGTCTAAATCTGTTGATAAGTCACTCTTTTGTTAGTCTCTATCATTCGCCACACAACACTGATGTTATCTTCAGTCGTCGCCATAGAAGGCCTCACGCAGATCATCGGTGAGTAGTAATGAGACCACATTTAAACTAATTAAACCAGTTGTGAACAGTGGCACGAGATGGGGCTCTATCGTGAAAGGCCAATCAAGGTCTATCATAACATTCATGTTGACTTAAATGATATCAAAAATCATAAAAAAATCATTGTACGAAAATGTTCTCGTGTTAAATTCATGCTGACGTGACACAGATAATTTTCAATTGGCCACCAAATTGTTAACAAATGACAAATTAATAAAATACATACACAATAATATTTAGCAAATAGTTCCATTTTTAAAATTTCAACTAATTTTTTTATTATATCGTTTACAAGTGGCCAGTTCCAAAAACTTTCAGTGTCGCTCTCGTAATAACAACATTAATACATATTATCAATATATATTAAGAAATGACATAACATAAATGAAGATGATAATAACTTTTTTCTGATGATTAAAATAATAATAATTTTGAAATTTGTTCACTTATATTCTCAACAAGCTGATCCATTTTCCTCTTTTCAACTAAATTCGGCTTTCACTATTTATTCAAAAATAATCAACTAAAATATTTTATTATTTGAATACAAGGAACTAAAATATATTGACCGCTATGTTGTTATTTATTCGTAAACATAAATTTTCACAGTTATAGAGAAATTACTAAAATCATGTCAATCAATGAAATCATCATCAGCTAATCAAAGAGAAATATAGTAAAACGCAGCAAGAACACCGTTGCATTAAACAACATTAATGTAGCTTGGACTTTAGTAAGGATTTTAAGCTAAGCTAAGAAAGGCCATCAACATGTCGCCATTGCTTGTTTACAAATTATAGAAAACGAAAATTATATTTAGATTTTAAATATATTTTTAGATAAACCAAAATTTTACGCCTATACATATCCCTTCTGATTATTCTTTGGTATTTTAAAAATAAAAATCCTATCAGTAATAGTAAATTAATAAAGAAATCTAATTCCTATTTGATTTTTTTTTTTGATTTCAGAATGATTTAATAGATGTTTTTAATATAGACGGATCAGTGACTGGCAAGAATGGCACAGATATACAGGAAAGAAAATGTTCTTGGGTAGCCGTTGCTGTTTTAGAGAAATGTAATACAGAACAAAGGCGCATTTTCGAAGAGAATTACGGCAGCTGGGATCCGAAGAAAATAGATAGCATTCGCAAACTATATGAAGAGTTGGATATACTACAACTGTACAAGCAAGAAGAAAGAGCTCGTTATGAAACGTTCCTTAAAAAAGTTAATGCTTTGCCCAAAAATGCAACACCGTCTGCTGACTTCTTCTATAAATTTTATGATTTATTTCAAACCTACACACGAGATATCACATGCTTTATGTACGACAAGCATTAAAAGGAAGTTTTGGGATATTTTTTTTTTTTGGTAAAATGCTCGTACGTTTGTGCTTTTGGAGTAAAGTAAAGTATTAAGAAATTATCATTTATTTGTAAAAAAAATATTCTTCATAATTTTTCATGTTGACGTGTCACTTAGCGAAATTTTGAAGACATTATGTAGGCAGCTTGAGCCAGGAGAGTGTTAATGACAATTGTATCTCAAGGTAGCTAAGTAGACAAAGCAATTTGAGGTTTTACATCATCATCGGAGCACTGTTTTATTGTCACACTAATAGATCATATGCGCAGATATTAAGTACTCAAAATCTCATCACTATACATATCAGAATCCTATAACAGTTAACGGCCTCTAGACCAAATTTCAGTCATGACGGCTAGTCTCAAATGATACTAGCTATCAGTTCAGGACAGGATTATTGAGCCCAAGTGCATGCACAAGCACAGGTGCACTTTCTATTCCATCAATCTCGTAGTCCGATAAGTCGGTAATCTGAGATTTGGAGCGAGATCAGGAGTAGGACCTATGGCTTTAATTGCTTTCTGAGGCACGGGGGTGAAAACACCGCCAACCTCCTGACTCTGTACTATTACTGAGTATTTTTTGACAGAAAAACCAAAACACCGTTAACTTTTTGACTCTGGTCTGCTACTGTGTGACAGAAAACCAAATAACAGATTTTTGCCCGATTCGGGATTTGAACCGAATAATCAGTAACCGCGATTACAACCACTAGACCAATAGCAGTAAGCAAGCACTAAGGCAGTCACTAAAACAATTATTTAATCAATAATACATGAGCAGCAATTCGCCGGCGATCATGCTCCCATTAAATCTCCGTTGTGGGATATTACAGATCTACATTATTATCATTTGTAAGATTTTTTTTTAAAATAGTCTTAACACTTTAAATAAAATAAACTGTTTTCGTTAGTCAAAAGTAGTTTTACCGTAATAGAGTCATGGACTGTTTTGGCTTACTTTTTGTACATTTAAATTAATATTGGACATCAATTAAATTATTTACAAACTTCAAAGTATTTTTATTTTGCAATTATAATTAAAGCCTAGTTTGGAAACGCCTTTATTTTTAAATAACATTGCAATAGTACTATTTACAGTATCGGCTGTGTGATCACCAACCCTTGGCAAATCTTTCATGCTGATATTTTCTTCTTCATCAGCCCGTAAAAGTCAGCAGTCAACTGTCAGGCAACTGGGCAACTGGACATGAGCCTCTCACCTTGTAAGAAGGATTTGTTACATTCTATACGGAGGTAGAGCCATTTTGCAGCTACATTTTGATTGCAGCGTAGTACGAATGAGTCGGCTCGGCCTGAAAAGGACCATGCTTTTACAGAATACCAGCGTACAGCAGCATTAGCATTTGCATTTTATGATAGTAAAGTATAGATATAACGTTATGAAGTTTCCTTAATTTTTAAAAAATTTTACCCACTCGTTTACGGTGACGTGACGTTACAATTCGACAGAGCGGAAGGTTGTGTCTGAAGTCGAATCTTTGTTGAACCAAGTCTCTGATTGGAGGTGACTAAATCTAGTACAGTTCATTCTCCAGAAGACATAAGTTTACGCGTTTACCGCTACAAAGAACCACCTCCTCAGTTTCAAGGCACTTCCCATGTTGCTTCAGCCAGTATCGGAATCCTCGGCGTCGACATATGAAATTAAGTGCAGTTTCGTGGTCACTTGGAAGAGAAAGCCAAAATGAGTAAAGTATTTCATGCTGGCACACTACAAGTCGAAGGTTCGGCCCCACATGGGATATTGTTGCCATCTTTGGGCTGGGGCTACGCAGAGCAATTTGAATCGTCGACGATTGAGTTCTTTCCGATCGGCTCGACTCACTGGCGCTGCGAAGAGATATTGCATCCCCTTGCATTTTCTCTGAGGAATTATTCGGTTTAATTCCAGCCGCTAAATTTCATCAACTTACATAACGAAAAACTTACGTTTCCATCCACATCATCTGGATGCTTGGCACGACTACTTTGTGGAATCGTTTACTACCTGCGAATTTCCCGTACCGATTTGACTTAGGGAACTTCAAGAAACGAGCTTACTCCTTTTTAAAAGGCCGGCAACGCACCTGCAATTCCACTCTTGTGTTAGTTGTTCATGGGCGGCGGTCAACACTTTCCATCAGGTGAGCTGCATGCTCGTATATACCCTCTGCTTAAAAAAAGCATTAAGCTGCTATTTCACGCTAGTATTCTGTGTCACTGTCACAATTACTATTGCAAATCCACTGCTGAACCTAAGCCTATCACATGTAATATTACCACAAAGAAAATTCTTGCGCCAACTGCATTCATAGACTACCCTGTGTTAATATTATTACTAATACTGCTTACTAATTTATACTAAGCAGCCAAAATTTAGGGTGAAAAACAAGCTGAATTTTTCATTAGAGTAAGTAAGTTTTTACTAGGAAGACGATATGGGGTAGGACATTCTTACAACACCAGTACACGGTACCCTTACTTTTATAAAATAGAACAGACTACTCGTAAGCAACTAAAACCGTTATATTTTATTATATCGTAATATCTAACAGCTTGTTGTTGTCCTCATGGAGAAGCACAGGGAAAAGAATATGGCTCTGAATTTTTTATTCATAGACCTGCAGAAGGCCTTTGACTGTGTTCCTAGGGAGATGATCTGGTGGGCGTTGCGGTCGAAGTTGGTACGAGAGACCTACGTGGAAATCGTACGTGACATGTACCGCAACTCCGATTCAATAGTCAGGACCGCTGTTGGTGATACCACCCCCTTCCCCATAACCATAGGCGTGCATCAGGGCTCCGTTTTAAGCCCATATCTCTTCAGTGTGATATTAGACGAACTGTCAGCCAGCGTACAGACTCTACCGCAGCCTTGGCTGCTTATGTACGCTGATGATATCGCACTGGTAGATGGGGACAAAGTACGGCTCACCAGACGCGTGCACGCATGGAGGGAGGCGCTTGAGAACGGCGGGCTGAAGCTAAACGTGGCGAAGACGGAGTATATGGCCTGCAACAGCACAGATCTGACGTCTCTCCGTATAGGCGACGACACCGTCGAGCGCACAGACAACTTCAGGTACCTCAGATCTGTGCTTGATGCGTCCGGTGACATTGATCGCGACATCAAGGCCCGTATATCAGTGGCTTGGGCGAAATGGCGCGAGGTGAAGGGTGTCATTTGTGACCCCAAAATGCCGGTCAAGCTGAAGGGACAGGTCTATAAGACCATCATAAGACCTGTCCTTACGTACGGCAGTGAGGCGTGGCCGGTGCTGGAGCGACACCGGCAGTTGTTGCATGTCACGGAGATGAACATGCTGCGGTGGATGTGTGGCGTCACGCGGAAAGACCGTGTACGGAATACATACATCCGCGGCAGCCTCCATGTCCGTGACATTGCTGACAAGCTGCAGGAAAGTCGCCTCCGGTGGTACGGCCACGTCTTACGACGACCATCAAGCTACGTGGGAAACAAATGCCTGGACATGACCTTACCTGGTACCAGGAGTAGAGGACGGCCCAAGAAACGCTGGCTTGATGTCGTGCAGAATGACATGCGCGCCAATGGGCTAGTTGTGAGGGACGCCGAAGACCGTTCAGAGTGGAGGAGGAAGTGTTGGAAAGCGGACCCTGGGTTCTCCCGCGCTGGGCGGGATGAGCAACCGAGATAAACGCTAGGTAGAAGAAGAAGAAGATCTAACAGCTGTTTAACATCAATATAAGTCGAGAAATTATGTACAACTAGGTGCTTGCTGGACATCATTTTTATAATAATCATCTTAAAACATTTCTTCACGAGTATAATTTAGTTAACAAGTAAACGAACGAGGTCAAAATAATTCTTGTACGCTTAATGACAGCCGTTTGTTTTAGATACTAATGTGTAAGCACAGGTGTTGCGTGCATATTTTTTTATAGAAGTGATAAACGAATATACTACTACGACTACGGCACATGGATAGCAGCAACCAACTTCAAACATAGAAGGCTACAGGTTCATTTTTACTTCTAAGGACTAAGATGCCAGACAACCTGTTATTATACTGCCTCTCTATACCATTTAGCGGAATACAACAGTGTAAAAAGACCCAAAAATACCTCTCATCACTCTTTCTTTTAGCGACGCGAGTAAATGTTTCCAAAAATAATTTCCAATTTACAAGATATTTCTTATTTGTATTAAAAGATAAATTTATATTCAAAATAAATGGTTTCAATTCCATAGAAACATAATATTGTGTAATACAAATAAAGATCTAAATGTAATTGTTCGTGTTAAATAAAACATGTTATGATCTTGTGATAAGAGATAAGTTACATAATGACTACATAAGGATAGCATATGTAGAAAGAAATAGTATTATATACTAAACAAAGAAAGTTATAATTTCAGAGAGAGATAGAACTAGCCTCCTATTGAGGAGTCGAGGGTCGTGTACAGATTGGTTGTTCATTTTGTAAGGGATTATAACATCGTCCAAATATATACATACATATAATCACGCCTCTTTCCCGTAGTGGTAGGCAGAGACCACTTCTTTCCACTTGCTACGATCCTTACATACTTGTTTCGCTTCGTCCTCTTTCATTATTCTCTTCATACATGCTCTACGGTTTAGGGTGCTCTTCACCTGGCCTTTTTTCAAGACGTCCCTGATTTGGTCTTGAAATGTCCACCTAGGTCTACCCCTTCCAGCACTTTCATTCACACTCGCCTTATACACTTTTTTCGTCAATCGTTCTTTACTCATTCTCTCGACATGGCCAAACCATCTCAGCATAATATACAAAATAAGTTTAGCTATTCAGCGGGGAAACGCAGCCAGCGTTCTTGGGACGATACCGCGGGAGCAGGACTATGTGATAATTAAGTTTCTAGTTTTAGTTTCTTTTTATTATTATAGTTTTTAATATTGTATGTAATTAAATTAAAGATAAAATATTGTATAATCTATTAAAATAAAACTGACTTTTAATTAATGTTTTATTTAAATATTCTTCGGTGTCTACCCTAAATGGTTAAGGATTAAGAAGAGATACAGTCCACAAATGACTGACGTCAAGACCGGGACCATTCTTTAGGGACTCGTAATCAAAAGTGGTTTCGACCGGTTATTAGTTCTGACTGTGACATATATAAAAGATAACACAATGGCAGCGCCACGGTCCTTAATTTTGTAATATTTTTAATTTCGAGGTAAGTACTATATTATCCCCGTCACAATACGTGGGCTTCCTTGATAATACTCATTATCAAGGAAGCCCACGTATTGAGACGGGCAACTACGGTACCCTACCTCTACATTGTGCGTGGCATCTCGTATCTCTGACAGATTCTAGCTCCAATATTACCGCATAAAGTAAGGATCGAGCAACGATAGATTGGTTTGACAAAGAAAGATTGATATTCGGTTCCGACAATCGCTATCGTACCGTATGAATTAGTTGAACATCAAGATTGATGATCCAACCCCACTTGTCACATTAGAGGCAAAAGTAGAAACTTAAATACAAACACGTGCACGCGTATAGACATTGTTTCAGACTCTTAATGCAGTACATTATCTGAAATATTTACGACTGACTGTGCTCAATAACGTGTATACCGTAACATGCGAAGTATATAGAGGGGTACTTAATGACCTTAAGTATTAAATTATAATTATAATATGTGACATTTTCCTTATTATTTATATTTTCCTTATAAGAGTTATCGCTTTAAAAATAAAGGTTTTCATCTAACTGAATGCCTAGATATAACAAAACTTAAGTAATATGGTTCTCAAAGTTTAATAACACAACTTTAGTTTGTAAATAATTTTATTAGAAATGATACAGATATTAATTATTGATCTTAATCTATGACGCAACAAGAAGCACCAGCATGTAATTAGTAAAAAGATATATTTTACCTCCTTTAGGTTGGTTAACTTAATATAAATTTAATACAATCATCGGTAATTGTTAATATAGACATAATGTATCTGGATAACATTTCGAAATATATATTTTTTTCGGCAGCATATTCCAAGGTCAATGCTTTCATCAACAATTCCATAATATTAGATATTGACACAAGCTGAAACTACACCAGATCTTAAGTAGCAACTGTGGCACCCGAACGACTTCAACCCACCTGAAATATTAAGTTTACAGGTGTATTGCCACCCCTAAAGATTAAGATTGAAGAAAGAAGAGATTCACAGCGTTAATTATTGTTGCTCTTACAATCATATTGGCTTGAAAAACATCTTCAAGCCATATAACACATCAGTAAGTTTACTGTTGTTTAATAGCAATAATTAAAAATTAAAAATTTTGTACAACCGAATTCAATATAAATTATTGAAAATAACTTAAAAACGATTGGCCAGACCTTGATCAATTTTATATAGAACCACATGAGAAGCACCAGCTTTTAAATAAAAAAAGAACCACTAAAATCGGTTCACCCAGAAAAAGGTAACACACATAAAAAGAACATACAGTCGAATTGAGTACCTCCCCCTTTTTGAAGTGGTTAGAAAATAAATGATTTTATTTATTTTATTTTATTTGGAAGACCAACTACTATCATAAATTAGTTAGATAATACTAATAACTACAGTAAGCTAATTAAGGGTCCTCACTAATAGATACAAAGGTGAATTTACAACAGTGATAAACACGATTCAATTCAAGAGTATCCAATACTAACATACTTATGCCACATGAGGGCTTATCTGACATAACATGTATTATACATATAAAAGAAAAAAATAAACACAAATATAAAAGAAGTAAATTGTTAGTTTTGTAACAAACGCATCAATATCTCACTTAGAGCTAAAAAATGCATTATTAAGTATGCGCTTGGCTGACGCATCGCTAGTGTTAAACAAATCGAAGTCAAATTCATTGGCTAGCTTGTTAAAATTATTGCTCGCTCGCCAAATAAATGTATTTTGTCTATAATTTGTAGATTTTTTTTAAAGGATAAGGGTGACAAACGAGCACGCAGTCCACCTGATGGTAAGTGGTTGCTGCGGCCAATAGACATCTACATCTATCCTCTAAATCAAAATGCAGATGCGTTGTCACCCGTGAGGACTAAGATGAAATGCCTCATTTCCAATAAAAAGGGCCTCCGGCCACCTGCACTCACCAAGCGAAACGCAGAGGTAAACCTCTACTTCACACTGGTATTCTGTGAGGTCGTGGTACCACCCCGGTTCGAGCCGGCCCATCCGTGCGACAACAAAAGTTGCCGCGTGGCTCTACCACTGTCAAAGATGCAAAGGGGAGACTTAAAAGTTTGTTGTGTCTAAGAGGTTTGGCAGAACAGCTAAGATGTAGTTGAGATGAAAGCTCAAGGCATTCAAAAGCACTACAAGCTATTTTAACAGAAAAAGCAATCTCACGGCGCTTAGCAAGAGGAAGAAGGTGATGTTTTTTACAATAACTAATATAATTATCAGAGGTATAGCGATAGTCTTTGGTTCTATAACAGAGGTAACGGATAAACTTTCTTTGGATATTTTCAAGTCGGGGAATATATGTTGCATACCTGGGGTTCCAGATTTGAGATGCGTACTCTAAATTACTTCTTACAAGAGAACAATATAGGATCTTTAGAGTTTTAGGCTTAGTGAAATCCTTAGAGCTATGCATCAAAAATCCAAGAGCTTTCGAAGATTTGGAAGATTTATAATAAAGTTTATTTTATGATAAGGTGAAGAATGCGTATTTATTAAAATTTTCTAATGCAAACTGAAAATATTAAAAAAATCTGTCCTAAGACTTACTCATGGTGTGTCGAAAAGTCAAAGTCCCGACTTCAGAAGCTGTTATGTGGAAATCATTTTATTTTTAACCGAGTTTCGTAAGCGAGAAGTTATTATATTCGTTACGTATGTTTTCATGAAAATAAACATGTGACGTTGTATCAGATGTGACTTAGGTTCCGTGAATATTTAAAAAAATCGAGCTTATGTTATATATATATATATATATATATATATATATATATATATATATATATATATATATATATATATATATATATATATATTTATAGGATAAGGGTAACAAACGAGCACAGTCCACCTGATGGTAAGTGGTTGCTGCGGCCCATAGACATCTACATCTATCCTTTGTTACAAATCAAAATGTAGATGCGTTGTCA